CCCCTCACAGAGCGCGAAATCTTTTTTTAAACTCCGCCTAGCTGCGGTGCGAAGCGAGACGGAGCGACAGAGAGGAAAAAAGCGGAGCAGGCGCGAGCCACTCGGCCTTTTTCCCACTTCTTCCGCGGTGCAAACACGCCGTACGCCAAAACCCCGCCCCCTTTCGACGGGTTCCCCATCGACGCTTTTCCGCTGCCACAGATTTTCCGGGGGAATATGGCTCTCTCTCCTCGAGCCTCTCGAGACGAGGCGGGAGAAACGCTCCACGCAATTCCCACTAGTTAGCGCTATCTGGACATCCTACCGACATCTAGCGGTGGATATTTTTTTTGAACAGGGGTTGTTTCAGGATTTTTCATATCTTCGATGAGGCGCTTTCGCGATTTTGGTTTTATTTTAAGGTATCGATATGACGTATTTTTTAGAAATAGTAATAGGCGATATGAGGGACGTATATGAGTTAAACGATAATAAAATGTTATAGAAAGAATATTTTTTGTAGAATGCAATTGATGAACAAATTTTTATGGTCTGTTAGTGTCAGATTTAGTTAGGTCTGTGTATCGAGTTCACGAGAATCAGATGTATTTTAGTTGGAAATATTACGATATTAAAAATATTTGAAAATTGTAGAAATTTACTGCTGTATCTTATGTTGGTAAGAAAGAAAACTCCCCTGTTTCGCTTATCGATCGTATCGTATAAAGTCACTAGACTGGACGTTAGCGACATCTGTTGGTGAGTTCGTCGCAATTCAGGATGAAAGCATCCCTAACGTTTTATTGCATTTTTAACGTAACATTTCGTATGACGCAAAAGTGGCATAATATTCGGAATGATTTTATAGTAAGAATTAACAAATTTATAATCTCTAATATACGAATTTCAATGTTTAGAGCGGTAATGTTCCTAAACGTACTTTCAATCCTTTTATGATAGATGACTATAAATATAAAAAAAATATTTTATATTTATTATATTTAATTTGTATAGGAACTATCAATTTGTTAATGAAATACAGAGCGTTAGAAGTAATCATAAAATATTGTTCTTAAAACGATCTTGCCAAGTGGCTCGTTTTTCCGTGTCGGTATGGATTTCGCATTTTCCCGCGACGTCGATAAAGCAGGTGACTACTTCACAAAATTTTCAACCGATTAACTTTCAATTCAGTGCAAACGAGGCCCCTGATGGCGCACATGGGTATAATTTCCACCAAATCGTGCGGTTGAGCGCGCCGAAAAACGATGTTCCCATCGCTTCAAAATTGATTTACATCGAATAAAGCGATGCCCGTGAAAGATAGACTGCATAGACAATGGAAATTATCAATTACGATAAAAAAAATTAGTAAAGAATCAGTGCCACGAAGATCTCAAATTTCTATCATTTTGTGCCAAAAGTTTCAAATCATTCTCCACTAAGATATCTACAACAATCCAATATTAATTTGAATTGAATTGCAATTGAATTGAATTTCGAATCAGAGATACAGTTGCAAAAATCTCGTAACAGATCCTTCATTTGCAATGTTATTTACGATATTTTCCAAAACTGTGTATATATAGATTTTCATAGATCGTTTGTACTTTGTATTACAGCGCAAGAATACTATTGTTCACCATTTTCTCCTTTTTTGACCTTATTTTTCAATTATTTTGCATCGTTTCTTTTTTGATTGTACATATTACTTCAAAGATTTAAACAATGAAATTGTAGAATTTTGAAGAAGTAAATCTCTAATGAATCGTTACGAGACCTTCTAC